TAAAATTAACAACTATATAAATCATATAGCTAAACTATTGGCGAAAATAAGAGTCGTCTACATTCGATATGAGCAAATAGCCATTTCCAATTTTATCTATGATTTTTTAGTATATATATATTGTCATCATCATTGGAGTCGCATCCTTCTGTCGCTTACATCCAAGTCGCCCTGCTACACACATTTTGTGGACAAGAAATTAAATTGAATTTGAGAACCCTTTTGCCACGTTGGCTCATGCAACAATAAATAATCGAAATACACATGAAAATCCGCATGTACCGAGAGCAGTCCGTCCAATCTGTCCAAGTCTGGTCAGCCTTCCTAAGGCAGCGTCAAAGGTTAGTTGATGCTTGCCACAGTATTCCTTATACAAATGCAATGCAATAAATATTGCAAGGGGGCGTGTTCCTTTCATCTTCCCTTTGGTATTCATTTATCTGCTTGCCTGTTTGTCTGCTTGTCTCTCTGCTTCTGTTTGTCCATTGCCTTCGCCAGACTGGTGATATTTATATGAATACATTTAAATGGAACGCAACAATCAACAGCAACACCCTTCCCATCCGCCTTGTTCGACTGTTCGTTGTCAACACTTTAAAGCTATCTGATACAATAATTTATATCGCTCGTTGACTCTGCTCTCAGTGCATCCCAATTGTTTCGGCCTTCCAATTCAACTTGTGCCGTATACCAATTTGTATGTATATAAAGTCTCGCTTCCAATGAGATAAGCGATGCAAGACAAAGCCCCGATTTCAGATTGCGCTTCCATCGATGACGTGTTAATTGTGCTGGTGCTTCCTTTCGGCTCGCTGCTTACTGGAAATACCGCATGCTGACTTGTTACATTGCCTTGTTGCCGCCACATAAGACAATTGGAGGGGAGAGGAGCAGGGGCTGCCCAAGGAAATGGGTTACGCCCGTGCGAAAGTGCCACCTGGCATGTGTGTAAGTGATATAATAAAAGACTAAATAATAAATGCAGCATATACACAATTCTTATGTGTATGTAAAAATCATTACCAACTAGAGTTGCCATCTCTTCCAAGGAAATATATAAAAAGCATGCTAACGAATCTAAGTATGGAAGAATAATTTCATTATCTATCTATCGCTATTGTTAATCCGATTATATTAATCGATATATCTCTTAAGTATCACTTACTACTCATTTAGGTATTAATAAAATATGTTGAAAGAATGCTAAGCAAATAAATAAAGTTTTGAGGAAGAGTTACTGCTAAAATAATCTTTATTATATATATTTGGAATTTTTCACGATTACTCAATAAATACCACTTGCAAATAGCGATTATTATACGATTACTCATTATCTATCTACCACTTGCTAATAGCGATTATTATACGATATATTTTCTATAAAATTTAATATTTTCTCGCTTCGATCTTTTTATTTACACATTTTTGCATTTAACTATGTAACTTAAACTTGCTGACAACCCCATGGGCAATCATTACATCATTTACCATCCCTTATATTTTCTTTAATTATTTTTGCCGTCTTCTTCGTAGCATAAAACAATGCATTTTATCTCGGCACGGCAATGAGACTCTTAAACGTTTTATTTTTCACTCTGCTTCCATTCAGCTTTGACATAAACTCACACACACACACACCCAAACACTGAGACGCTTACACCACGCAACCTCTTGCAGAGTTCTAGAGTGGACCACAGAAATATTTATATTTATTTAATACTAAAAATTCCAAGAATTAAAATAAAAAAATCTAATAGTAATAATAAAATATGAAAGTGATTTTTTTTATAAACAATAAATGCCTACAACATATTTTTGAAATATTGTATGCAAAAAGTAAAGAATTTTATTTAAATAACTTATTTATTGCAAGATTATATCTATAGGCAAATTTTCTGGCTCCTTGAGGCTGCCGTATTATTTTAAAATTTAGTCTTCCAAGCAGGACGATGGTGCAATGATTCAAAAACATATTTAAATTCAGCTTAAAGATTCTTATAAAATTATATTTACTTATACTTTATAGTGAAGCAGCGCTTTCAGCAAAGATTTCCATTTAAATTTTTCTGAAATACATGTCTACGTTCACAACTGAAAGGGATGAGGATTTGTTTTTCTTATAATGATATATTAAGCAAAACACATTCGCCCTGCCCTGTCTAAACTGTCTAAAACTGTTCTCTATATTTGTACATTGAATATACCAAATCAATTTGCTTAGTTTGTTGAGTTTTTGGATCACTCTAAGGCCAAGTGAATTTAAGTATTGCCAATGAGCGCCTGCACGCGCTTGTTGCCCCCAAACCGCACCCCCCTCTCCGTCTATAAAGAGCCATTTTAGATGCAAGAGGCAGAATGAATGTCTAGCTGCGATAGATACTGTATGCATATATAGTATTTGTATATACACAGGGAGCTCGCTCTACAACTAAATACTTAATTTCGTTCTTTGCTGTTGCCTTTGATTCTTTTAAATTTCCAACAACAACCACAAAACACAGCAGGCTGGCGCTGAGACTAGGCAAATGGGGAGGGGTGGTCGGAGAGGGGGCCAAAGGGCCACAGACTATAACAAAATAGAATGCAACGAAACAGAGCAGAAAAGAAGGGAACGCATTGGCAACGCCTCCCATCCACTTTGACTCGTTTTGTCTGCGTTGTCTCGCCTCATTTACGGCCTACGCACACCCGCACACACAGCCGAACACACAGCCGCACACGCCCGCACACACACACACACACACACACACACCCACATGAGGCTGCCTGGAAGACAGCTGTTTGGAGCGCTTCGCAGAGGAAAATGCAGTTGGCTGCAGAATAAGTCGGTCTTTCAAGCGCGGCGGACGCGTCGAATGCCCCAAATTGATATAGGCGGAATATCGCTCATACGCCGCGTGGCGCGATCGATGCTGACAGATTGGGCAAAATAGATACACATAGATAGGCCATTGCGGAAGCTAGAAAGAGTGCGTGTTGTTGTTGCTGATATTGTATTTGTTGTTTTTGATTGAAATGTAAATAAGCCATGGACGCCAACAAAAATATTTTGTCGAGCGCGAGCAAATTGCGAGCAACGTTTATCATTTCAATGTTGCAATATGCAAAAGTCGGTTTTGCCAAGTGCAGTTGTTGGCCAATTGACGTTGCAGCTAAAGTGCAGTCAGTGGGCCCGAGTGACGTCTCTGTTGTTGTGTAATAAATCAATTTGCGACTTTAATGCCAATTGCCGTATTTCAAATTATTTTCTGACACACATAACATGCTTTAAATGCCTCTCGAAGGCCATGCAAATCTGCCAAATGTGTGTGTGTCTGCCCAGATTTAAACATTAAACAAAAAACCAATTTATACAAATTAACTTGAAGCCTGTTGAACTATTGGAACTCATGTATGCTTTATTAACAATTGGTTTTAAATTACAAAAATGGTTTTTCAATCACTGTCACAAGTCACAAGCTGTCACCTCGTTAATTGTTAACGTGCCGCCATTAGTGCACAATGGCTTTGAGGCATTCCCCATCATATACATATAGAATGTACATATATTCACTATCAGACTGAAATAATTATGAATATATGTCAAGTCTTACAAGGCTTCAATTTAATTGCCATGGCACGGCAATGGAACATAATTAATGTTACAAAATGTAATAATTTTCCTCTTTTTTTTGTATAAGTCACTAATGTTATGATTAGGCGTAAATTAGGACTAAATGACATTCCCATACTTATAATAGTATCTAAAGCAAAACGTGTTTTTTTTGTCAATTCAAAATTGAACTGCGGAGTGTGCTGGGCTCGCAGATACCCCGCACTCAGATTGCAGGCCTACTACAGAAAATAAAATTAATAATCTAATGTAATTTTCAGTTTATCAATCTTACTTTTAAAACATCGTCTTGTGCAAATAGATGCAAGACGCAAAGGAAGTATCTGCAAGATAAATATTTAGATTATTAATCGGCATCAGCAGCTGAGTCTATATAGCCATTTTGAGTGTTTGTATTATTTCAGAGACCATCAGAGCAATAAAATCCGAAATTTCAAAAACAGCCTCTTCTTATTATTATTATTGATAAGCTAGACAAATTTCATTAAGATTGGATAAGAAACATCCAAGTTATAGACGAAAACCTATTCTCATATTGTGTGCAAAGCAAATGCCAATTTTTCTATAAAACTTGAATACACTTAATAGTTCAGGGTATATCGTAGTCGAGCGCACTCGACTACAACATTCTTGTTAGTCACTACATATTCTCGCAACAAAGTATTTGTGTTATGTTTGTCATAAATTATTCGTTTATAACGTTTTCATTAAAAATTTTATGTCTGATTGGCGTTGAGCAATCGCTATCGCAGTCCAAACAGTTTTTCCATTAATTTCGATAAATTCAATGAATTTCGCTTATTTAATTTATTTATTATGGTGAACTTTTCCATTTGGCTTATATTTGCAGCGCTCTCAAAATATAAAGTGCGAAATAAAATTCAGCAAATTAAATTGATTTTTAATGATCAGTCCTAAATATTCCAGAATAAATAATCATATCGCACCAAAATTTTATTAATGAAAACATTTAACATATACACAGGGCCAGTATGATTAATATCCAAAGCAAAACAGTTTGTGAAATCTAACAGGTTATAGTTATTTTTAAATAAATTGCAATTCGGATAAATTTGTAGAGTTCACACATAATACGCAGAATTGCAAAGTATGTGGGATGTAGACCTGAGTTCCGCTCATCAAATGCTTTGGCAGCATTGCTAATACTTATGTTTATGTCCCGACATGTCTAAAAGGAAATTGGCTAGAAAATAACGCGATTCGTCTGCGGGTTTGTCGGCCTTTCGGCCTCACCACACTAAGAAGACAGGGGCAATGGAGAGAGCTACGAGGTATAGCGTAATACAAGAAAACATTTTGAACGTGTATAAAATAAACACAAAAAAAGGTACAATAAATTGAGGCAAACTTTTACACACATGCGTGCGAGTGTGTGGGTGTGTGTGTAGGAATAACAAAAGTACAAGAAAATACAAATATCGAACACAATGGAAACAATAACGTGCGAAACGATTGGAAATGCTCCACAGACACAACCACAAAGACAGCCGCAGTCGCAGTCACAGTCGCAGTAGCAGCCACTGGCCGGTCAGCGTCTGGCGTGTCAGTCAGAGTCGGAGGCAGAAGCAGCCGGTTAGCCAGCGGGCCAACAACAAGTCGCAGGCAAATACCTAAAAAAAAGAAGAGAAAAAAAACACAAATGAAACACAAATCGATAGGAATTATCGAAAATCGCGTCACGTATTTTTGTTGTTGTTGCTGTGCCTCATTTAGCTGTACAAATATTTGGTTTTAATCGAAATGCAGTTTACAGTTAGCAGCAATCACTGGAAATAAGTAATAAATTGCGTGTGCGCCTCAATAAAACAATTCCACAACAACTGCAACTGCACAGCAACAAAATGTGCCGTAGTGTTAAAAGTGCAATGTGCTAATTATGCGGGCACACAGTGCGGATACGTGTTGAAAGCCCAGCTAAAGTGAATACGTTAAGAACGACGCTACAAGTCAAAGCAAAGAGCAAAGTAGGAAGAAAAAAAAAATAAAGGGAAAAAGAAAAGCCAACGCAACACGACTTGTTGCTGGGAAATCGAAATTCAGTTATTATTGTCGTCGCGTCAAGCAAATGGAAAAGTCAAGGAAAATGTGTCTGTGCGGAATGTGAAGAAGTGTCAACGTTTACAAGTTATCAATTGTGCGCAATTGAAATGTGATTTACCTGTCTATATCTGTCTATATCCCTCTATATTTCTGTGCCTGTGTGTGTGTGTGCCTGTGTACAAGTAGTTGAAATAATGTCATGCATTGGCTCGACGGGATTTCTTTGGATGACAATTTAATTAGCGGACGCGCCAGCGGCAGCAACGGCGACAACAGCGACAACAATCAGCGGAAATCAACGCAAAGCTCATCGCCAACAAAAGCAAGTAGGTTGCAGCATAGTTACCCACCTACACAAACACACACACACATAAACATACACAATCACACTGCATTCAAAGCGTAATTTACTCGAGCGTCTTTTAAAGTTTTAATTAAAGTCCATGAAGTGTAAGCGCAAATTGATTATTGGCAAAAACCACAATTTCAAATATTTTTCACAAAAAGCTTGGCCTAAGCTCCTCAGTATGTGAGGAGTTTATTAATGCATTTCTACATACCCCAATTTGATTTTGTATTTTTGAAGACACTCGCTTTAAAAATTCATCTTGTGAATTTTTGAGATGTTTTTTAATTTATTTGACTTTTTATATTCAATTTATTGAGCAATTTTATCTTCTGTATTTTGAGTAGCATTTTAATTTATTTGACTTTTGTATTGATTTATTGAGAAATAAATCATTCACAAAAAAAAAATCAAAATGGTAGTTAATTTTCGATGAAGTGTGAGAATCAGTGTTTAATATTCAAAAAAGCCATTTCCATTACAGAATTAAAGAATAAAAAAATAATAAAATAAGTTGTGCTAAATGCCTTACCTGTGCTTGTTTCGGTTGCCTTTTTCATGTCTGAAGCATCAATTGCTTAAAAGCATTACGGGTATGAGATTTATTTCAATTACGCCGTAAAATCTACTTGAAATCGTTTAAACATGCATTTTACTCATTTCGGCCATACAATGTTCGAATGAATTTATTATGCGGTTAATTGAATGACGACCTCGCCTTTTTCGAATGTTCATCGCATTAATTTGTCTTTAGCAGCAGAGAAAAACATAATTTTAATAAATTTAATTTTCAATGGACAACACAATATTTCTGATTTAGATCCAAATTGTCGTATGGATCAGTTGTTTATTAAGCGAATATAATTAACCTTAATGTATATCGAGCAGATGCACTATACGGAATTGATGAAAACATATTTATTTCGAGAATGGATTTTAATTTAGTCCGTACAATTAGCTGCGAATGAATTAAAATTGAAAACGCTTCAATTATAATTATTTGTATTTCATTCGCGCTCATTAAAAGCATCATCGGAACATCGAACCCACGGAAGCTCTGTTCATATTTATCTGTTGATTTTGCCAAAAAAAAAGAAGAAAAAAGAAAGCATTGCTTTCGCATATGATTTTATGGCCGAGTCGAACTGTGCTACGCTTATTTTTTTTTTTTGGTAATGAAATTGATATTGCTTCCGCTACCTTGATCACAGATCCACAGGGAAAATTTTGGTTATATAGCAAGCAATATCCCGCTGCGTCCTTATGCTATATATATATATGTGCACGAAGTGTATTTTGGTTTTGTGGCAAAGCATATAACGATAACGGTAGAGTGCAGTACAGTAATAAATTCTTTTGAAAATTAATAAACCATAGAGCTAATCCTTTTATTATTTTTAGTCAGGCTGTAGAGTATCTGAGATCTTATTACTTTGAAATAATTTGATTACAAAGAAACAATTCAAATAATTAAATACCAAATTTTAATATGGCGATTTAATAAATATTTTAGTTAATACTCTCCTTAAATTAACTACACATAAACAGTTAAAATAAATTATGATACATGCAAAAACATGGCAATTGCACAGATAAAACAGCAAACTTCAATTAGAGGGTATTCAAAGATGGGCACCCCAAGAAAAAACCTTGCTGTGGCTGATTTTAATGGGTTTCAGTTGGATCGTTTCAATTAGCACTGCTAAACGGTGTGACGCATTGTTTTTATTTTCGGAAATTATTTACAAAACAGCTCGATGAATGAATAAAAGCAGCAGCAAAGGCCAAGCAAGTGTTATCCGTACTTGTAAATATCATTTAGTAAATTTGTAGACATATGGCGCACCAAATGTACACTTATTGTTTATAGAGCTCTTGCTGCACATTTTGGCGGCCAACTGGAATGTTGGCCAACATTACAGCTGACTCAGAGATTTCCGTGAGAGTGCGTTTCCAAAATAGATTCGGGTTGATCTTAGCACTCACCTTTCGGCCTGAGATGTGTCCACACATAGATAGCCGCAGAATATAAACAGACCATTTGTTTGGCAAGCATACCATTTAGTTGAAATTCTGACACATTTAAAATAAATAAAAGCGTTGCGCCAATGAGCGACTATTTTAAATACATTTCAGGATTTATGTGAATAATTAAAATTCTTTATCAAAATAAGCATCACGTTCAAAAATCTATAAATTTAGTTTGACTCTTGATTTCTCCTATGTTATGTTTACAAGCTACAAATCTTATTGAATATAAATGCTTTGCCGAAACTATAAAAACCAATTATTAAGTGACAGTGTAATTTCAAGCTTAATAATTACTTTAACATCGGAAGTTTGGAAACATAAATTAATTAAATATTTTTATTAAGGAAATTATATTATCTGTACAAATTGAGTATAAATGGTTTTCAAGATTATTTGTATAATGATGAGTTTTTTAAGTATGTGTAAGGCATACACTGAAATTTCAAGATCTTTTCAAGTATTAATTTCCGTATTAATTTTTAAGTTTTCTCTTTGTAGTTTCTAGGATCATTAAATCAGTGTAATAATAATATTAATAATCGCTTAAGAGAAACAAAATCCATTCTGAAAGTTTAATAATAAAATTGTTTATTTATGTCTACCTGTAATCCAGTGCCTGTATCCATGCAGTAGTTGTCGAAAACCTATCAAATTAAGTATTATATCGTAAAAGAGATTAATAGATTCAAAAGATTCTGGCGACACGATCGCCCCTGCTTCTTTCGCACCTCTTTTAGGCTTGGTATTATAAAGTCATTGCCTGTTAAAAACTCAAACGACAGGCACATGAAAAACTCGAATGCAATGCCCTCCTTTGAGTGATCTTTATGAGTATTTATGAGGGCAGCTTTTTCAAAAACTTTTTCTCAAGTTTGGCATAAAAAACAGAGGCAAAAAATTACGTGCCAGACGAAATAGGGAAAATGAGAAAGAGACTGTCCCATAGAGGCCAACTGCAGCTGGCAACAGGCAAAGGGAAAATCGCAAAAACCAACAAGTTTTTTCTTTTCTTTTTTATTGCCTTATTTGTTTGTATTTCGGCTATGCATTTTGGCCACGCACACAAAAAATTGCTGTTTGTATTTTTTTGTGAATCGCTTTTGCTCTCAATTTGTAGTTTGTCTAACGGATGGATGTAAATTTTGACTTGGAAGCTCACGCACATTCCCTCACTGAATTGGCATGCCGTATGCAATGTCTGCCCCAGTCGCAACCCACCAACCCCCCCGACTATCAATATCTGCGTTTGTGTGCTAGGCCTAACAACAACAAATAAAATCTATACGCAATTATTTAACATGAAAACACAAACATAAACAACGAAATATTTCAGCCGTGCGGCATGGGGCATGAGGCGGCGCAGTGGTTGCCCCGGACACAGTGGTGCAGTTAGCAGTCGCGTGCCTGCCAGGCCACAACGTATCCGACTCCCATTCCGTGCGCATTTAACCTGTGCCCCTCTCTCTGCATCTCTCTTTGTATGTGTATCTGTGTATCTGTTCCTGTCTCTTTATCTGCATTTGCATTTTGCATCTGTATCTTCGTCAACGTGTTTCGTTTTCGTTTGGAGCGGTCGTCGTCTTCCACACTTATTTCTGTGCCTGCGAACAAATTTATTTTTAAAATTCCGTTTATGATCCACTTATTTGAAATATGTGGAGCATGCGCAAGTGTCCAAGTAATAAGCCGAATTCTTCATAAATCGAATGAAATCGTTTTCACCTACTGCCTGCTAATTGATCTTCGAATCCGAAAGGCCACGGAAATAGCATTTAATTAATAGTACGCGTGCTTTTATTTATGAGTTCTTATTACGATACAGAGTAAGTTTATAAATAAATAGAAAATTCTCGTATACACTCGACTACCAGATTCCCTATTAAATTTAATTTCTTTTTAATGTGTATTAATCAAATAGTCATATAACGTTATTTTTTATTTTTAATATAAATATATTTACACTTTTTCTTCAAAAGTCGGCTGAACTCCAAATTTTTTTTTTAATTGCGAATATATCAGACAGAGATCAAATTGTAAAAGATATTTTTTTAAAGTAAAAAGAGGTTATTTTTAGAAAATTTTGCAAATGCGAAAATGTATTCATCATTGAGCCTCGAATGATGTTACCTTGATTGTTAACCTTTACCTTTAACCTTTCACCTTAAAAATGCTTAAATTGCGACTTCTATAAATTACTGGTACATCTCAAGTCTACTCCGAATAATGGATGGAAATACTCTGTTCAATGCAAATATGCTACTTTTATTCTGGAACGATTGCGAAACCAGTTGAGTTAGTTGTAATGGTGTTTTGAAAGCCTTTGGGACTTTTGGGGGACTCTGAAGAGCCAGTTTTCGATTGTAACGCATATAAATATGATGAATGATGAGAACAAGCACTTGACAACCTGATCGATAAATCAATTGCCCTGATGGATAATGCTGCTTGAACCCTTTGAATAAAATGCCAATCCCCGCCCAGCAAGCTGTCGCCCTGCTGCGTGTTGTTCTCCCTCCTCCCCGTATTGTTGTAGGTCTGAAGCCCTGTTCGAAAAATGCCTTTGTGCGATGTCTGTTCAGCCCGCTTGATGTGTGTAGTTCGAAGGAGAACACACTTTCATGAATATGAATACTTATATATGTGCATATCTTTATGCTGTCACATGGCCATTGTGTGTGAGGCAGACAGGTCCTAGAGAAAATGTAGAATGTCATTGAACATCAAGATATTAAAGTAGTCATTAATATGCCACACGTTAGCTTTTATCTGTCTAATGTGTGCGTGTTTGTGTGTGTCTAGAAAGTTTTGTGGGTCGTTAAAGTGCAGACGATGTGCTGCAATAACTATACAGTTTACATATCGCATTTTTATCTTCGACATTCATTCATTGAACTCTATTTGTATTGTTTTGGCCAATATTCAAAATGCGCTTACACACTTTAAGTCTACCTAAATAAACACGCCCTCGAGTATTTATAAACAAAATATGAAAATATTTTGTATTGATGGAAAAACGAAACACTCAAAACACACATTTACAACAACAGAAATAATTCTTTCAATTCTTATTGTCTTTGTTTTTTTTGTGTTGTTTTTTGTTATTTTTTGTACATTTTGTTTTGCTTTCGTTCGTTTTCCCCTTCCTTTTTACTTTATGTGTCTTTTTGCCTTTTTTGTTTGCTGATTTTTCTTTCATATGCGGGAAACTAACGCACGACTATGCTCCGAGAACGAAGACGTCATGCACACTATAAGCTAAATACAAGGTAACTCAACCTATCACTAAATATATAAAACTTAACATTTACATGAATCGAAAAACAATTTGTGATAAAAATCGTTTTCGAATTGCCAACTGTTCGAAGATCAGTGTTAACAAAAGCTTTCAATCAGTGAGAGAAAGAAAGCTTAAAAGCCCAAAAGCTCAAGAGCTTTTCTTAAGGATCATGCGCAGTGGAATTAATATAGATCTCTTATATTCTGAATAGAATTTGAAATTTTGATTATTACATTTACTTATAAAAAAAATATAGTTTTAAGAAAGCTTATCTTATAATCATTTTCAAATAGAATTATTTTTATTTTTGGATATATTTAAAATAATGCTCAACTTAAAATTATAACTTTTTGGTAGTCAAGAAAGAAAACCTTGCTCCATATTCAACACATTTCCAAGCTTACTTAAGATAAATAATGCGAATATACCTAACAACTAACTTCTTTTTATTATCATAGTAATCGATTTCATTACTGTTAATATTTTATACATTTTCTTAATATCCGTTAAGAAATTTCAATAATGTCTTAAACAAACAGTTCGATGACATCTTAACAAATATTAAGATATAATCATCCTAGATTAAACTGTCAGCGTCAAATGAATATCAAAGTAAACAATAGCAACAACGAAAACGAATGACATGCGATGACAGCTTCAATTTGGCACGAGTTTTGAAAAAACAAATAAATAATAATAATAGAAAAAACATATATAATTATATATACATTTTCTTTGTTGTCTAATATTAATTGGCAGGCATAACCTCTGCTAATTTTTTAATGGCTTATAAATAATTTAATTTCACACATTTGCATAAGCAAATAAATGTGTAAATATTATTTATTGCCGGCCCTGTGAACCTAACATTTTTTTAAATTCACTGAAAAAGTATAATAAATGTGTCGAGGGCCAGCTAGTAAGTATTCGAAATAAACAGAGAAGCGAGTAATTTGGCAGCTTTCCAATATTTTATAATTAATAATGCAGGTGCAGAAGCCACAGGAGTAGAAAAAAGGAAAAGTTGTTGACCTTCCAAAACAAAATCTATTGATTGAGCCAAGTCAAAATGCGCGGAATATGCTGAGATCGATTATATTAACGAGTTATTAGCTGTGGATCGATTGCTTATTATAAACGTCCCTCGTTCGATACTTTTTTAATTATGTTTAGAGTATCTCAAATGTAAACCATCTATATGATCCGAGCTGACAGATAATTGGGTAAATCACTCGAAATTTAACGATCGCATATAAATAATATTAATTAGTGGTTTAGTTGGTTTTTGTGTTGGCGTTTCAGATACTTTTATTTTGCACCACTTATAGCCACCGTCAGTTCCATGACACATTTCAGCTACTTATTTTTGTATTTTTCGCGTGCTACCCAACTCATCATTAGCCAACACATATTGTATATGTGTAAAAAATAGCTTAACAATTAGCAAGGTTATTTTATTTTAACTCAGTAGTTGAGCTGTAAAATTAATTGAAATTGCGGTGCAGCTGGTAATTTATATTATCTGCTGCTTATTGTTAAAATAAATGCATTTTTTCGGTTTGGGCCCGATAAACCAATTGTAAACTACAAAAAACACTTTCACCTATAAGCCAAGCTGTGCTCGCAATCAGATTAATGGGTTGATTAAACTTAAATTATTTTATATGTTAGCAAACAGCAAAAATAATTAAACAGCAGATTGAAATTCCTATTTGGATTGGCAATATTCATAAATAGATTCGCATTGTATTATTTTTTTTTTAATATTATTATATTAAATAATTAAAAGCAATCCTTACAAATAAATAATTTGCTTAATAAAATTGGAAATAAATGGACTTATATTTGAATTCAGCTAGATAAAATTAAGGAAATTTTATGTATATTTATTACCTATTCACCATTGTTTATTATACATTTACAATGTTATGCATATGTGCATGTATACAAATATATACGTCAGATTGTATATTTAACATAATCGTAAAAGCTTTTTTTGCTCAAGATTCGCATACTGTTTGACTACATCAAAAGTTCAAATTCTGACGTTTAATCTCTTTTGCATACTCTATAAACTTCAACCACTTAAGTTCTTGTATCAAGTTAATCTGCTTTTCTAGTTAACAACTCTGAAAAGACTTGACAGTAATTTGAAAATAAAGTGAAATTACTGATTATATTACCTGATAAGCTTGATAACTATTATGAGATCTTTTAATTCTAATTGCCTAGGCACCAAGTGGAAAAAAATGTTATATTTTTGCCCATTTATTTGCATGGCTTACTGAGAGTATTGATTTATCGGTCTGTGATATTCAATTTGCGCTTGGGTTTTTCTTTTCATATTTAATCTCTGAGCAACATGCGCACATTTCATTGAGAACGATGATTTGTTAATATTGGTAGTGCCTTTAAGATTTACCCGACGCCTCATTTGCTTTATGAAACTTTTCATTGTATTGAATTGTAGTTTTTTTTTTAGTTTAGTTTTTATTAAAAATTGAACTAGTTGCCGTCAGGGGCAGAGCTTGTTGCTCTTGGCGGCATTCAATGCCAGTCGTTGGCGTTCGTTTGTTGCTTTTGTTCTGTTGTTGTAGTCGTTTGTTTTTGGCCAAAACTGATCTCGCCCAACTGTCAGTTTTCTGTTCATAGTCGAATCGTGCGGTATTGCAATACGAAAAACATTTTTCAGTCTTCGCTGCGGTGAATTTTCCCTTGTTATCTAATTTTTCATATGCTTTAAAGCCAATTTGTTTGCTAAAATGTTTAACAACAATGAACAAAATTTAGCTAATTAATTTGGGCTAAAGCTAAGCACGTGTGTCCTATGGATTTGTATATGTTTGTGATGCGATCTCATTCAAAACTATTTTGTGTCACCGTTTGATTAAGTTGTGCAAATTGTGTGTATTAAATGAAAAACGCGAAAAGTAGCCGAACACATAATGATCGCAATGGGCGCAAGGGTAGCAAACGCTCTGAGAAGGGAAAGTAAGCAATTGACATAGTTTTACAATTTGTTCTACATGCATTTTATATATTGTATACGCACAGTTTCAGTAGCGAACATCTGGAACTCGTGCCTTATATCGATTAATACTAAAAGTCATTAAAAATTTCGAATATTCACACACTTTAGCGATCGTAAAATAAACATTTCTTACCACATTCAGACCCAAAAATAAAGTTTATTATTTATCATCGAGTCATGCACATTGTTTAAATTTACATGTTCTACACAATGTTTATCCACAACTCAAGCAAATCATTGCATGCTTTTGTTTTCATATGCCCCGCTCTCTTGTTCTAAATATCAACGTCGCATTTTATGAATAAATCTGCCATACATTTCGCTTTCTATCGATCATAAGTTTATCGATTCAATTGTGCTTTCACACGAATCGCTCATGAATTCGACTGTTGCTCTCTTGCTCTCGTGCGTTAAAAATAGATTCTCATATCAGGGCTGCATCGTCGTGGTTCCGGAACGAGATTTAACGAAAAAGCTTTGCCATTGATTGAGTTGGTATTTTGAATGTGTGAGTTATTTTAAATGTGTGTTGCGGCATAAGCAGAAAATGAATTAAAGACGAAGTATACAAAATCATTTTTAAAGATAATCTGATTCTTAAACTAATCTTCCTACAGAAAATGCGTATAATAAATAAGTTTTGAATATCAAATATTGTATAGACTATTTTTATTTGAATTATACATATATTTGTACATTTCAAGGGTAAGGGTATTTCATGTTCCTTATTGCCGACAGTGTGTCACATATTTATTTCGAAATTATGGTTTATGTTTTATTTGTTTTAATACATTTGCCAAAAAAAAAGCCGGCTAGTTTCCGAAGAAACTAAAATAAAATGCTGATATTATGATAGACTATCAAATACCATAATTAAATAAATTCATATATGTTTCTGATGTACCTTTGATTTAAAAATCAATGTGTATGAAGTTAACAATTCTGGATATACTCATTTTGAAGAAGTTCCAAAATATATGGAAATATTCCAAATATAAACAATTTCTTCTATATTCGGTATATTTGCTTTCGCATATGTACCCTTTAAGGAATATGGCCGCAGGGTATCAGCATGCTTAGCTCGATGGCATTTAGTCCAACAGGTCGGCAGTTTTTCAAAAATATTCAGACAGCAGTGTCAAAAAAAAATTCACGCGCATATTTTTTTAAATTCGTAAAAAAGCGTAAGTTATGGAAAATTTGCAGAGGCTTTTTATGGATCATTTGGGATTTGTGCATAGCTTTTAATTGATTTAATTTGATTAGACAAATAATCACTATAAAGCAGAAAAGCCAATGGCAATATACTTAAATAATTATTGCTAAAGGTATAATATATACAAAAGTATATGTGTTTCCCACTCGTATTCGACATGAAAGCACTTGGTTGGAAAAAACGTTTTTATGTTTTCGAAGTCGATGTAATTTATAGTTTGTTTGCGCTTTTTTCTTTTGACTAGACAGTTGAGGCATATCACCTACAGTCGTATTGCTTGGCTCTTGAAATGATGGTCTTAAATGTGACTCGTTCCAAGCAAAATATATCAGTGGCATATATTTATTTGACTACGTCGCGATTATATTATTTATTTATGTTCGGCGAGTGTTGAAAGTCTACAAATACAGACCCAGTTAAATGCCTAATAATTGGGTAAACGCATAGCAGAACTGGAGCTACCCTATTCAGTTGACTTACAGCAGTCGGTGCGGCATGATCAAACTTCCGATCAGATATAGATTGTTCATATAGATATTCAACTAAATAATATAGATTCGGTATGCTGATTGGCAGGCGTTCACGATGGCAACCCCTGACAGATCAAAGGCAATAAATACACATATATATTTATTAATATTTTATCATATCTGAATATTTGCAAACATTTCTAAGATATCTTTTTATGTATTTATAGATTGGACAGAAAGTCATCACGTGGCATGATATACGAAAATGAAGAGCTCAGGTTGCGCACAATCAATATAAATGCGGAAGTAGAGCGAGGTGAATACCAATCAAAACATCAATTTACAAAATCCTCCATAATAATTAATTAAATAAAGAATTAAAAAAAAAAATAAAAATAAATCCGGTAAACAGGAAACGCATAAATCAGAAACTAAAACATAAGAAATCCAATTAAAAAGACATTATAACTAGGAAAAATATGCGCAATGTGTTAGGAAAAACAAAAATTAAAGATGCGACTAGCCAAAAAAGAGCCATACATATATATTTGTACATATATTTTTTATATTCAATGTTTTCGTTGGAAAAGCATAGGATAAGCGAATGTAAACAATAAGATTTAAGGTGACCAGCTGCTCTGATGAGCATTGAGCGCATTCACTGTTTCTATGTGCTTAGAACAAAGATTAAAATATAAGCAAGATAATAGCCACTGATTATCTCAAAATATGCCAAAAGAATTTGGGTTTGCTGTTAGAGTCTATAAAAATACACGCCACGCTCTTCAAATCACTTAATTATCCACGTTCTCTGTTGGCTGAATTCGCAATCGTTTTACTGCAAGTATTTATAGATTTATTTATAATTAATTCCTTAATAATTGTAGGTCAATCGGATATCAAGCGTTTGAGGCGTGAAAATGAGCATCTGCGCCGTGAGATTTGGACACTTCGTGATGAATGCGACCGGCTCAACAAGCGCTTCAAGGCAAAGCTGAGTGAACACGAGTTTGGCGGCTGTCGCAGCAGCGGGGGCAGCGGGCGTCGCTGCAGCGGTGGCGGCAGAGCCAGCGCAGGTTGTGATGGAAACAGTGATGTGAGTAAGCACAAAGCGCACACCAAAAGTATTTCCATACTCAATAGTATCCACTCTCTACTCCACCCGACAGGACTCTGACTCATGTGATACCTGTCGCTGCGAGGACGACGGCCAGTGCAGCGATGAGTGCTGCCAGGAGAGCGGCTCGTGTGCATCAATCAAACCGCCGTTGCCACCAGAGGAGTCCAATGCCAAGGCTCTTGAATGCAATCCACCAGCGATGCCGGATAACCAGCCAATGCACTTTGACCATCTGTCTGTGGTGTCGGAGGAGACGCTTAGCAATCCGGAAATGATGCTGTCACAGCCACCGGAGCATCAACTGATGATTTGTACGCCCGATGTCAATGGCTCGCAGAGTACACTGCCCAGCCTGGTGGGACCACTAACGCCCCTCACGCCCATCGAGCTAGTGGCCAACCAGTTAAATGATTTGCAGGCAATGGTGCCGCCGCTCTCCTACTTTGAGAACATTCTTGCGCAGCATCTGGGTCATAATCAGGGTAAGCTTGTCACGGCTAATTACTTAATTATGTACGCATAGAAAGTGGGTAACATAGTATCAATAAATTGAGTAAACTAATTAGATACAGAGCGGACAACATCAACTCCATATAGTATATATATAAATAAATAAATTGATCTGTTTGATAAGCAAACAACAAAGCCACATCAGACTGTTTGCATAGTTGTCATATCATTGTCGACCTCAGATTCTATAAGAGCATGAGACTAGATGTGCATAATACATATGTATGTGTTCCCATTCGATATTTCTAATGTTATGCATACTTAGAATATTGGTCAAATTATATCAACAAATTAAGTAAACTATTCCAGCAGATATCAGACAAACTTAGCTTCATAAATTATATATTTCTTTGAACTATTGATTTGAAAGCAAAGTCGATGTTTTCGAAGTTTTATGCCATATGAATTCAAATTACAAATATTTTATTTGAATATCTCTCTGCCATCCGGAAAAATCATTTAAATATAATTTAAATAAATAATGAATATATACTGTATATGAATATATATATAATACTCCTACTTATTTTAAATGATGGCTCTTTCGAATTACAGTGTTGACACCGACACCTGAATTAGGCACAAGCTCCAGCACGAGCACCGGCAAGACCATGAAGCATACCAATGGCTGGGATTACAATCTGCAGTCACCGTTCTCGCAGCTCAAATACTCCAATGCATCGTCGCCATCGCGCTCTCCTCCCCCACAGCCACTGACTACCTTTGTGCCCACAGGCACGCTGCAGGCGCTGCCCAGGATAGCACTGAATGTGCCCGCGCCGACGGCACCCGGTGGCATCATTGAGACCGTAGCCATAACCACAAACACAACGCAACAAGCGCTCAACAGCCCCAAGCATTTTTTTGCTCCGATGAAGCCGCGTCTCAAGCTCAACACGGAGCTGGCCAATCGGGGTCAGGACACACTGCCGCCAGGCTCGCCGCCTCCGCCGCTGGAGACTGCAACTCCGCTGCGCGAACCTCCCGATATTTTTGTAAATAATGCGCTTGCGACACCTTATCAGCGTCCCGGCCCGAAGATCTCTCCACAAGTAAGTCCGCGTCATCGTTCGCGATCCCATTGCCAGGCGCACCAGCATCACCAGCACCACCGTCAGCACCGTCATGGCCAGCAGCAGCATGCCTCACTCTCACCACCGCCACCCGTGCAGCACCAGCAGCATTGTTCACTGCATCGGGCGGTGGTGAATGTGGCCGCTGCCGTCGGCCTGGGCATTGGTGGTGCTGAGGTGAATGCCTGTGCCGGCAGTGTGGTTGATATTTATGCTGCTGCGCTTGCCGCTGCTGCTGCTTCAGCTGTCCGATCAGCATCATCGGCGCCCCCATCTCCGCTGCCCCTGACCCGTGGCTCAATGGAGCCAGTGTACGCGACCGCACAAAAAGGCTGCCATAGCAGCTGCAAATCTGCGACAGCTCTCACACAGCCCGTGATGACCGTCACGACGAACACCACAAAGACAACCGCATCGCCACTGCGGCTGGTCACAAGCCTGACCCACTCTGCAGGCGGCTGTAAGCCGTCTGCCGCAGTTTTCGCCACGAGCATCGTGGATATTGGCAGTCAGGTGAGGGGATGATCTGCATACGGATCATCAACAGCAGTCAATCATCCGGCTTGAGAATCCCCCACGTTTCATCGTTTCTAGAATTTCATTTGCCTTTTCCAATGGTTATCAGAGTGGTTATTATTGATATATTATGTGTATGTGTATCTTTTTTTCTGCTTTTTTTCGAGTTGTTTTGTGTGAAAATAAGAGAGGTTATGCAATTTTTCTAAGTTGAATTATCTTACATCAATTATAATGATTCCATCTGTGTAAATTTAGCTTAGATACGTAGAATAAAACATAAACAAACTTTTTTCAATGGAAGTGTAATTTATAATTATAATTATAATTATACACCCTCATTCTCTCAACTAAATGTCTAGCTAGCATATTTGTATTATTATTTCGGTTTTATATATTGTTTGATTTAAATTTGTAAATTCATTTTCCATAGTTTCAAATCGTTACACTTAGAGAATATTTAAAAAAAAAACAAGTCAGTGTAGATAATTACTGTATTGAGTTACTTATATTATTAGAATTTACTATCTCAACTTGTTGAATCCACTTATAAATATTTGTATCCAAAATAACATAAATCCTGATGTAGATTTGAATTTATTATATCATAGCCTCTTCCTTAAATTGCCAAAATTAATTACTTTAAGTAAAATGTTATACTTAAATTAATTGCATAACTTTTACAACTCAAAACTTTTGTTTTGTCCCCAGACGGATTCTGTGAATTTGGAGTCAATATTAAACGACATAGAGACAATTTCGGAGGACATTCTGGCCATACAGTTGGAGAAGAGTAGATCACGCGATAACCTAATATCCCCCTCTGGTCAAATCAAGGACAACACTAAGAAACCCTATCGCTCCGAGATGAATCTCTATCTGCAGTATGACGGCACAACCCCAGCCACTTCGAATGGAACAGCCATCACTGAGACAACAAATACTGCAACCTCTGATTCCAATAGCAGTCACAAGCTGTCAAGTCGCGCGCGTTCTCTGGAACGCGAACACACGGACAGTCCGGCGCCGCACATGCCCGATCCAATGGCTCCGTTTCCGGAGAAGTGCACGTATCTGGGTTTCGAGCAGATCAATCAGACGGTCAGTGTGCAGCAGTCACCGTCGGGTCAGAAGCCGCCAATTGGCGCTAAGCCCAATCTTCCTGCCAAGCCGCCGCCACCTTTGCCACCAGCGCGCCGTCCAGCCCAGCCTACAGAGCCACCACCAGCACCACCAGCTGGACTCTCTCCAAACAAGAGCCACCTGTACAAATCACTCGCCTCAGCGGCGGCAGCCAAAAGAGCTATATTTCGCTCCACACCATCGCAACTGACGAGATCCCTTGATGTGGAGTGCACCGGTGGCAACGAGCCAGCTGCCGACGAAGCCGATCCTCTGGCTGTCAATGAGGTGGGAACTATTTTCCTTATTTCTTGACCATTCAATTTTTATACAGAAATAATATTATTGATTCAGTTGTTTTATATTTGAATAATCCTTGCGTACCCAATCAGAGTTTTTGATTTATTGGTTTTGAACCTACTCAAACATAATCATTATTTTTTAGTCTCATTTCTACTCGGGATAATTATTTTGACCTGAATAAAATCATTACTAAATGAAAAAAAAATGCAAAAGTTAATAATCATTACAATATGATTTGCAAATTATAAAATTCTAATGATTATGGTCCATGCTCCAAAAAGTATCCATTTGGTTTATTCAGCGATAGCTAATTTGATATACAAGTTAATTCGTCTTTTTGGTACACTTTCTTCCATTTTCAAAAACTATTTTGGTAATGGCAGAACATATTTTGGATTCAGTCGGATAGAATCATATTATTAAAAAGCTGCCATTAAAACTGTAACACAAAAATTACTCCACCTTTCATATCAACAAAAATCGAACAATTATATTCCATACAATTAGTCAGTTGATTAAATTAAAAATAAAATTTGACTTCAATCTACAAGGATGTGAAATCTTTGGCTTGCTTGCTGTTCATACTTGTAATTCAAAATGTTTCCCTCTCTGTTATCAGCAGGATGATGAGACGGCCAAACGGAGGGCGCGTCGTGTTTCCATAGTGTGTGGTGAGGAGCAGCAGGCTGTGGTAAATGGCGCCGTTGTATGCACTGCACCCACTCTGCCGACAGCAACAGCCAGTTGCATCGATTTGCCCAGCGCTGCAGCTGGAGTTTTGCAACATCCGAACATTAAGGCATTCAGGCAGATGAGCCATAGCACGCCCAGTTCGCCACATTCCTCGCGCCGGCGCACCAACAGCAACACAATGACAGGAGGGAATCCCGAGGTGTCGGCCACATCCTCGGCACCACCCAGCACCACACACCATCATCATCATCGAAAAGAGAGCAGCGATCCGGCGCCTATGACCACAGCGACAGTTAGCCGCACAAAATGCTCGCGACGTCACTCGGAGGGCACCGTTCACAATGCCCATCGGATTAGCAACTCGAGTGGTGGCGGTGGTGGTGCTGGTGGTCATCATCATCATCACACGCACCACCATCAGCACAGCAGTTTGATCAGCAGCAATCCGCATCATAGTCACCATTCCCATCAGGATAGCAATCATGAGACGGTCACCTCCCTGTCCGACCGCAACTCCAACAGCTTTGGCTCTTCGCGGGAATCCTCGACGAGCTTCAGCATGCGCTCCAACCGGCGCAAGATCTCGATAAGCTCGCATACGGGCGGCAAGATACCCTGGTGCGGCTGCTGGGGAAATGGATGTCTCTAAAGTGTGAATTGAGTGTAAATCTATGTTTAGTTAGAAATTAGGGGCCTAAGGGATAATTGACAGGAGCTGCCGTCCTAGAAACAAATAAATCCATATTTTTAGAACCTACTCACATGTTGACATATGGGTTAATTAGTCTGCAATGAACAAATGTGGAAATGGAGAGTTCTCAGCCATCGACTTATTCAATTTTCATAGTATGCATTTTTTAAAAAATCAATCGGCAAGTACAAAAGAATGATAATTTGATTCTGGAATGAAGTCGATTTAAAACATTTTCATAATGAGCATTTTTTCAAAAAATCAATCGATAAGTACAAAAAAAAAAAAAAACACAGAATTCGATGCGGCTCAGTTATAGGTTAACGTAATAAATATATTTTTAATTTAGATTAATTAATTAATTGCGTTCTGTTCGTAATTGTATTCAGTTAATTAAATTTATATGTATGAATATTGGATTGTACATATTCTGGCATACGAGTATTTCGATTGTGTGTAGTGCCTAATTTATAAGTATTTACGGAAAATATTGTAAAATAAATCAATATTGTTGTTCAATTGGGATAAACATAAATATAATAGTTAAAGGTCGAATGCGTGTTTGCCTTCTCATATTTGTAGGTATTGAATTATTTATCAGCCAAGTTGTGAATACTAGAAAACTAGACCACTATAGAAGTGAGATATATATTACATTACTTTATATTACAAATACTTTTATATACCTGTAGATATTCAATTAAAGCTTGTTGAATGTTGAAGGTTGAACAGCTTCGACATGGACTAGATGTAGAGGACGATAATAGCACAGAAAAGAGGAGACAAGTACATATGCAACTGAAATTGTGCAACACGCAAAAATACTCAAATATCAAATGCAAATTAACGAAAATTAAGTCGTAATGATGGACGACACACAAACGTCATTTGAAAGGATACAAAACAAAATCAATTTCAACATGAAGCAGCGCAAATTACCCTTGCGAATAGCGAAAGTATGTCACTAATGGTATTTCAGGATCTCTTTCAATTATTATTATAAATATATCGGCCACAAGCTATCAGCAGAACATGGAATGTAAAGTCAAAGTATTATTATTCACTCACTTAGACAATTGTTCAAGCCATATCTGACTGGTGTTAATTGAGCGTTGATTATACCCAAAGCAAATACAATAAATGACTCACCACAGAGCCATTATATTGTTATAGAAGTAAAATAATTACAATTTGTAGCATCTGCATTCAATTTATGGCTGTCTTTGATGCCACATTGCCAATAGCTAGATTTTATTGCGTTCTTTATTTTGACCACTTATTTTGTTCTGTTTCTTTTTCTCTCCGTTGACTGAATCCAGATGCACTAGCCAACAAGCTGAGATATAAATTTATAATCATTATATATTGCTTAAATTGACTCGAATTGGCATTTGACATTAAAATTGAATTCATGAACACATATATTCATAGTTTATAGTCTTTTAATTTCAATTTGTGGACAAATCATGGCTGGCTATTAAAACTCGAATTAAATGGGAACAGTATGCATTTAAAATAAAATTGAATGAATTGCACAAGACTTTTTAAGAGACACAAGTTCTTAGCCAAAACATTTATTAAAGAGATCTACCAATTTTTCTTTTGCAGCTTATTCAACCGCACGAGTAAAGCGCCCTTAATAACTTATTTTTGTACGCTGAGCCAAAGAGATAAAAAGTATTTAAATGTACTTAAATCTACGTATGTATGTACATACAAGCACACATGCAAATATCTTATGAATAAAGTGAGGACACCATTTAAAAAGTCGTGGGCCAAGTGCTCACATCATTTGCGTTTAAGTAATTGCTTCGAGTGTTATAGACAGTCGTGAATGTTCGTGTCTATATATAAGAGGAGCATACATGATTTAAATGTCTGTATGAATTGGGGGATGTCTGAGTGTGAGTGTGAGCGAGGGGTTGGGGTTAGGGTTGGGGTTGCAATTTATATGTAAATACACGAGCAGGTGCCCAGTGCCAAGTGTGATGGCATTTGTGGCTTTTCGCATGGATCTCCCATTGGTGTTAAAATGATTTATGCGCCTGGCATACGTGGCGTATACTTATTTTATGATTTCAATGAATGCTGACGAGGCGTACGCTTTGGCGCCCTTTACCAATGTCTGCCCTCACACAATCTTGCACACACACACACACACACACACACACACACACACACATCCGCTGTCTTAATCATGGCGTATTTTAGACAGACGAGCACACAAATACATACTTACACATTAGGGATTGCTATCAGACGAATCCACGTCTACGCCTTATATTACCATAAAATCAGCCGGCTTCAAGCAGCCGGCGGCGACGACTTTGTCATCAATCGTTATACGGCTTTATTCTCTATTCTTTAGTATTTGTTTTTGTTTTTTTTTTTTTGTTGTCAGCGCTTTGACATATTAACAATTTGTCAAGCCAAATTAGGCAGCGGCAGCAAGCGGCGATGTCACCGCGTAAAAATCAATGCACACCAACTAATTACTCCGCAAAGCTTCTCCAGACACAGACTTACACACACACACACCCACACAGATACAAATTTGTGGAGATCCCAGTTGGCTGACGTTGCTGATTACTTTGCTTGCAACAGATGAGCTTGAGCCATACTGCTGCTCCTGCTGCAGTTGCAGTTCTGCTGCGCATTAACTGAGTGGACAAGCCACACACACACACACACACACACAAGCACATAGAGAGAATCATCGGCCAGAATCTGCTGAATATTGCAAGTAGCAACTGATGATGTCCCAGTTGGCACACTTGGACAGCTACACATACACATACCTAAACACACACACACACACATACTTATACACACGCATCCTCTGTGGGGGCAACAGATGCTGTTCGTTGCAGCATCTGCACTTTTCCAGCCAAACACTCACTTTGATCATTTCTCATTTCAGTGTGTGACACATGAGTTGTCGCCTTCATCTCCGTCTGGCTCCATGTTTTATTGTTGGACTTGCGTGATATTTTTATTAAGAAATACATCAAATGCACATAATACACATGGCCGTGGTCTACTACTACAGCAATATGATGTAAACACGTTTGCGGTTCACAAAGATTATGCTTAAATGACAGTCTGCTATTATTAAAATACACAATGTATTCAGTGTATTAAAGCTGAAGAATATGAGTATATGAAATTTTTGTATAAGCTTTATCGTATAAATTCAGTCAGTATGGAAATGTATGAAATGAGTAAGTCAGCAACTATTCAGGTTAATTCAATTTAATTTTGTATTTAGACTCACTTAAAATTCGAACATTTTTTTTAAATCTGTTAAAAGAGCAACGTTAAAGAAACGTTAAAGAGACGCCTTTAACGTTGTTTTCTTACCAAAAATATTTCCCATGTTTTACTTGTACTGTGAGGTATCGATTCAATCAATATTTATATTAGTAGCTCTCAAAGTAATTACAATTAACTCAAGAAGCTCGGCAACTTTTCAAACTAAAGTCATGAAATGTGGGATGTCATTTTGACTATATTTTTAATCACTTTACAATATATATTATTTAACATTAAATTAGATACACGAACAATTATTAAATTGGGGTATTGCAATTTGATATACGCATATTTTAGCATAGAATTTCAACGATACATAAGCAACTATTTTGTCCTCATAATTTGCATAGGAAAATCAGAGTTCACCGACAATCCCATTTAAAATCTTAAAATCTCTCTCGCTCACTTTTACAGTTTATTGCATCAACTCAAAGTTCATGAAAATAAACTCAAAGTTCTTATTGCATGCTACTCATACAATGAGCGCAATCTAATTTATTCATGCAAATCTCTACGCTGCCAGACGGCCACCCACAAGAAGGAAGAGCTACGTTTGTTGACTGACCTTTAAAGAAGGAGCCCATGCTGCTGCCGCAGTGTAGTTAAAAGTAGAGTGAACACAACTACTCAGAAATTTGCATAATCGCGTGAAGCTTATTTGTTAAAACGTAGCTAAGCAAAACAAAATGTCACAAATTACACGCTCCAATGACGGCGACGACGGCAGCGGCTGCGTTGCCGGATCGCCAAAAAGGTCAACATGCTGCACGGATATGTGCAAATTTGCGAAAGTGTGTGTATTTGTGTGTGTGTGTGTGTAATGTGCTGAGTCCGGGGTGCCTTAGCACGTTTTGAATAATTTGCTTTTAACATGCGCGACATGAAAACAAAATAAACAAATGCCTTGCCGCTGCGGCCACCTCCTTTCTACACCCCTTTCCCTCCCTGCAGTTGCCTTTTGACTGGCCATAAAGCTGAGTGGCAATTTGTCAAACAGCTAACTGGCATGGCCAACCACTCGGCATTCACTTAGTTGATTTGTTGCAGTCGTTTTGCGTCCTGGCTAAATGCCTCAAATGCGATTTGATATGTGGCCCATGTGGCATGCAGCATAGTATCGCACTGCTCTCCAACCTTCATCGAATATTTCCGCTTGGCTAACCGAACGTATACTTAATCTGCCAGTGAAAGCTAAACTTAAAGCTCTGGTGCTGCTCTAATAACTATCTTTACATTAGTTATGAGCTAAGTTTTTGGCATCAACTATAAAGTTTATTGAACTATCTTCCCTACAGCTGCCAGTCTCTCAAAGCAAATTAACATAATTTGGCCATGGGCAGGACTTTTGGCAGCGTTATCCTACAGCAAATTGTAAAAACTTTGCTCCATCCATTTGTTTGGTAACGCAGCTGCAAGTCAATAAGCTGTGTTAAACTTTTGTATACATGATCAATTTCAGGCGAAGATATGCTCTATATGCGAGAGGATGTCAACGTATAAATTTGATTAATATTTATGTGGGCGGACGGGTTGTGGGCTAGAATAAACAAGGACATGTATTACTATGACTACAATATCAATAAACCAAAATGCCAGAGCGTCGGGTATATTTATGATTTATTGTGTGTTTGGTCAGCGGTCATCAGAGTCCATGTCCTGTGGCTGCTCTCACGTCCTGGCTGCTTAAATACATTTCTATTGCATATTTCACCTATGGTCAGGCTTCCATGCTCCATTAAATCTTTTGCGACACATTCAATGAGCCCCATAATGTACGCCCTAATACCTTTCACATGTGTGTGACCAACGATTTTCAGCAACTTTCCCACACTAAACAATCCCCCCTCTCTCTCTCTCCCTTTCTCTATCTCTCTGTCTCTCTCACTGTTTATTTCTCTCACTATCCCTGTGCAATAATCGCTTGACCAGCGGCTGCTGTCGTCATGTGGCGCAAACAAGCGCTTGGCACTAATATCCCTTTGTTTATAAATGCTCTAATAGGAGCCAG